AGAAGAAGATTTTTGAAATATTGATTAATTTTCCCTTTGGGGCCCCGCCCTGGCCCCAGGGGTCGGGGTAGGAATCTCAATTTTACAATTTGAAACCATCTACCTCCAAGGATAATTCTCACCAAGTAAAAATAATTTCCTACAGAAAGTTGTCAAAATATACCCAAAAGTGTTATTTCCCTATATAAACTATAGTAAACTTTACCCCCTCCCCAAGGGAGAACGGATAGCTCGGGGGTCCTGAAATTTACAATTTAAGTAAAGCCCCTGATGATCTTTCTTTCCACGTAGAGAAAATCACTGTAGTACCTCTGAGTCTGGAGAAGAAGATTTTTGAAATATTGGTTAATTTTCCCTTTGGGGCCCCGCCCTGGCCCCAGGGGTTGGGGTAGGAATCCCAATTTTACAATTTTGAAGCCTCATCTACCAAGGATGATTCTGACCAAGTTTGAAAAAAATCCATCTACTGGTTCTTGAGAAGAAGTTGAAAATGTAAAAGTTTATGCACGACGCACGACGACGACGGACGACGGACGACGACGGAAGAAAAGCGATTAGAATAGGTCACTTGAGCAAAGCTCAGGTGACCTAAAAAGTTGACGCTGGACGGACGACGGACGGACGACGGACGACGGACGGACGACGCACCATGCCATAAGCTCACTTGGCCCTTCCGGCCAGGTGAGCTAAAAAAACATGGTAAGATGTTGATGTTAGTAAAGTTGATGACTCACAGTTTTAGGACATGTGCATGAAAGGTTGTGTACTCACCTGTCTTAGATAATTTTGTGACAGATGAAAATTTAAATAATGACACAGGATTGATGAGGTGTGATGTGTTTTGCCATCCACTAGCTACAGACTTGGCCTAAATACAACATAAATGATGATTATTAGTTTTGAAAATCTGTCATAACAAACTTTTTGACTTTGGATTGATACAAATGATAACACTAGTATGAATTACATGCACTAAGTTACTGCTAGGTGATGTTGAACAATTTTTGTTCATTTTTTTTTCATTTATCATAGCCATTAGTACAAGCATAAACAGTTGAACCTTACTAGTATCAACATTTTGATTTTGAAAAAAAATATTTGGAATAACCAACCCCAACATCGAACACAACTTTAAAGGAAGGACTTATGTTTCTGATCTTAAAACTTTTACAAAGGAATTAATAAATCCCCCCCCCCCCTTGGATTGGCAAGGTTTTACTGTACAGAGACATAGATCCACTCTCTTGATTACTTTCAATTAATGCAAAATGTTTTATTACTGATGTGATCATAATTATTAAAATGAAAACCTGGACATGTAAGGTCTGAAACCCAGAATGACGGACATAAGGAAAAAATAAATGAATGATAAAACCATTTTTGTATCAGTTTTTTTTATTGGGTTTGAAAACTTAACTTTTGAAATTTGTCAGTATGTAAAATACTTACCCGTTTATCACTTGGGAGTGTTTCTTTGAAAAACAAAAATACAAATATAACATCTGTGACAGCTAGGACGAGGGCGAATAGAGCAGGAGGGGTGTAAAATGCCCCGTCCTGTTGACGTGCCCACACAGAGAACCCTGCACCAATCAGAGGACCGAACACAAATCCGATGGAAAATGCTACACCAATCATAGCCTGCAAGACAAAGAACATTTTTATTTAAGAAGTCATACATATTTTCCTTGATGTTGGAAATAATCATTTATGGCCATATTTGACTGTCATTATTCTTTTACAAATATTTGAAAAAAATATATCAAAATACAGTAAATTACTGTTACGTTGGTGAACAGAGATGTATAAAATGCAGAATAATGAGTGAGGATGATAAAAATACATGGAAAGTATAACTACAGGTCACTTATAATGGTTATAGAACCAAAATATATTGATAAACATTATAATATTTAACATCTTAGACATTTAACAATGGTTACAAATGGATGACGTACCATTCCCTTGCCACGCCTCTCCTGAGGTAAGATATCGGCCACAACCGCTGTTGAGAGACTGATGTTCCCCTTACTGAGACCCCCGATAATTCGGGCAATGACAAACAAACCAAAATTGTGGGACACTGCCCAGACAGCATAGGATATGGCTACACCGATCTGTAAAGTTAAAGGGATAACTGTCAAAAACACTTTAAATCAATATATGTGCCTCATATCATCAGCAAGGAAAGAGTTTAGCCTTGTTTGTTTTTGGAAAACTGAGATTTGTTGAAAGAAATTGTTACCATATATAATATAGATAGATCTTCAATAGGGTAAGTAACATATTTCAAAATTTAAAATTTTTCATTCAGTTAGGTGAATTGTTTATATGGATGAGTCCATGTTATGTCTAGACTAGCATGGCTCCCATTAGTGGCGTACATATCTAGATGTAAAATTGATGTGTCATCAAGTACTGGTCTCCACTGTCTAATCTGAATTGATTTTTACAAAGTATCAAAATTTCATAATTTTTTCAATAAAAACTAAAACGAAGACCTCAAGTTATTCAATATAAAAACAAGGAATATCATGTAATGTAAGAATTGTTGCTCCAATAATTAGACATTTACTGATTATAACGGAAAGACAAGGTAATGTAAAATGTTATTAATAAGGAATGAAGTATATATAACTATTTTTTGGTTACCATGGAGACAATGAGGATAGGGCGACGCCCATACGCATCTGAAGCTGCCCCTACTACCGGGGAGGCAAGAAACTGCAGCATGGAAAACAGGGATCCAATCAAACCTGAAATCAAAAATAACTAATAAAGTTAAGCCAATCAAAAATGAAATCAAAAATAACTAATAAAGTTAAGCCAATCAAAACTGAAATAAAAAATAACTAATAAAGTTAAGCCAATCACACCTGAAATCAAAAATAACTAATAAAGTTAAGCCAATCAAAAATGAAATCAAAAATAACTAATAAAGTTAAGCCAATCAAAACTGAAATCAAAAATAACTGATAAAGTTAAGCCAATCAAAACTGGTGACATTCAACAAACATAAATTATGATAACTTCTTTTTTTTCCAATTCAGCCGGTGTTTCTTGGGAAAAGGAAAGGCTCAATTACTAATAATAGGGATGGGCTGTAACCTGGAGTGTCTGGTTTCTGAAGATTTTAGATTATAAAATAAGGTTTTATACACTAAAACTTCATGAAGTTATTTTCTATATGAAGACATTTTGATGCGTAAAGTGCATCTGACTGAGTGGATTTTTTTCAGTGTAAACATTTAACAGACACATTTTACAGTGCCTTAAATGTGTTTACATTAGATCGATAAAAAAAAACATACCTCCAAACAGAACAGAATTCCACCTAGGGGTGTCTGGAGCACCAACTAGTTCCCGAAACCCTCTCACAGAGTTCATCAATGACTGGTATAGTTGATCCTGTGTTATAGAGGAAAGATTACATTACAAACTATCACTTACCTAGAGCAGGTTACCAAAACTTGACGCTATTGAAAATGTATGTTCAGTAACAGGGTTTGAAATTAACAACCTGTAAAACTACTTAATGCAAATTACTTCAGTTTTAACCATTTTTCCAGTAAAATATTCTGACTTTTGACCTGCATTTTTTCTGTAAGTAGATGTAGATCCCCCCCTGCATATATCATTGGACTGTTTTTGAGAAATTTCATTATTAACTGATTCTAAAAAGTATTGAAATAACTTGCATATAAGCGGACATTTTTTGGGGTGATTTTTCAAGAAGAAATACAAAGTGATTTTTGGGTAAACTGATGCAACAATTCAGCTACCTTTTACTATAAAAAACCCCAAAAAATTCTGAGTTAATGACAGATACATTGCCTATTTACATTAGACAGTGTTATGGTGACATTGTAATCCTTTCATCATAAAGCCATTAGGCCAAACAAAATGATTATTGTGTTCCTGCTTTCAGACTTCAAAACATTAGGATACGTAGGCAGGCAGTTACTGGGAATACAGAAACGAGCTTCAGACTTAAATAGTGCTATATACAATAATCTGTCCATGGGTTATATAAATGGCAAGGAAAGATCAGGGTTGGTAAGTGTACCAAATCTAGTGTAAACAAGGAAATCTTAATAAAATATCCAGATCTCATTATTAACTGATTCTAAAAAGTATTGAAATAACTTGCATATAAGCAGACATTTTTGGGGGTGATTTTTCAAGAAGAAATACAAAGTGATTTTTGGGTGAACTGATGCAACAATTCAGCTACCTTTTACTACAAAAAATAATAAAAAATCCTGAGTTAATGACAGATACATTGCCTATTTACATTAGACAGTGTTATGGTGACATTGTAATCCTTTCATCATAAAGCCATTAGGCCAAACAAAATGATTATTGTGTTCCTGCTTTCAGACTTCAAAACATTAGGATAAGTAGGCAAAACAAACAAAAGTTACTGGGAATATAGAAACGAGCTTCAGACTTAAATAGTGCTACCGAGGGTATATAAAATAATCTGTCCATTGGTTATATAAAAGGCAAGGAAAGATCAGGTAAGTGTACCAAATCTAGTGTAAACAAGGAAAGATCAGGGTTGGTAAGTGTACCAAATCTAGTGTAAACAAGGAAAGCAGAAACATAATCTTTTTGTCTTAGTGGTGAGATTCTGTGATCTACCCACTTGTAAAGATACATGTATCCAGTGTTGATTTAGCCATAGTATTATAAACAGAATAATATTAATAATGTATGCAGATTCTGTCTTAAAATTCCTTTTATCCTAAACCATGTGTTTGATAACTATATCTGACAACCCCAGCAGTCAAGTAGACAACCGTTCTGAGTATAAATGGTTGCCCTTGTAAGTTAAGTCTATACCTCTTTCTGACTTCCGTAGAAGTCGAGCAGGGAAGGTAAGAGGGGGAGAATGACAGTGAAGGCCAGCAGATCTATGACGAGGGACACAAACAGGATCGCCAGGATCCTATTCTCCCCATCACCCTTCTCCTCCTTCCCTCTCTGACTCTTCTGACCCACAGCACCATTTGTGGAGGACATATCCAGGGCTTCACCTCACTCGGCCAGGCAGCTGAGATTGTACACCTGTGTTAATCTACAACAGAGAGATACGTATAAAGAGTAAAATGAGCTGGCAAGACAATTTTTTTTTTTTTACCTCTAAGGCCCACTGAAATTAAAGATTTGTTCTATCTAAAAAATGATCATGTGCAGTACAAGATATTTTTGATAAAACAATTTTTGTATCAGATTAAACTTTCCGCTTCGACTAACAAGTTTCTTTTCATAAATTATATGACACAATAATTTTTTTGAAATACAATACACAGCTAAGATTATTTTTCGCCTTTCAGCTTATATAAAGTTATAAGTTCAAGTGATACAAAGATCTCATGTGAAATAAACTTGTCAAGTTATTTATGATTTTACTCTTAAAATGGAAAGTAAAAAACTAACAAACCTATAAAATATTTAAGAATTAATGGAATTGCTGTACAGTGACATATATATAAATATTTATGTACTTACAGTTAATGTTTACTTTGGATAACAATAATTTTTATGACGACCCACCAGTAACATTATCCTGAGGTATATGATATTTATAAGTATAAGCCTTGACAAGTTATCCCTGCCTTGTTTAATCCGCCATAAATATGTTACAACCATATGTTACCACGACAACTGCTTTGGACCACATCAAATGGCTACATGCTCAAACACATATCTTAGGTGATTTACCCTGACAAGTTAGTGGAAATAACACGTCGGCTTCGCAAACATCAAAAAAGAACCACAAGTTCATATGATGTTTATACGACAGAGGTACAAGATTTGATTTTAATTGACATAATGAAATGCAGGTATGCCCTGAGGCTCTAAGTTAAAGGTTAAAGAGGAATATTAAAATATATATATATATAATATATGATGCGTACATCTTAGTTGAAGGTTTGTAAACACACATTCAACATTTATTTATATATATAGTCAGCATAATCATTCAAGCCTGGATGTTGGAACATTGCCAGCTTAACAGAATGTTAACTAAAATGTTTTCTCAAATATTTATATAATTATCAAAGGTTTATAGTGAAAACGGCATGTGTCAAGATTTAATATAAACATCTAGAGAGAACAAACATGAAAACACTGAAATTTCAGATGGTTAGAAATAAATACAATTGTAAACAACTTGAGTTAGTACATTGTATCTCTGTGAGTCAACAGTACTTTGAGCAAAAGGGCTAAGTGAAATCATCAAATTCTACAATTATAAAATGTATGAAATGTAATTCAAACAAAAACAAAACCTGGCAAACTGGCAAAACATTTGTCCTTTGCATTAATAGTAATTATATTCACCATGTACGTATATATCTCGAGTTGTGACGTACTCTGGGACGGATGACTGAGTTAAGTCATGCTTGGCTTATTGCATATGTACTTAGTCATATTTGATACAGGTAGGTGATACTCAATGTAATTATAGAATGATCCCGTTTTAGATTGACAATAATGCCCTGCAGTCACTCCTGTCACGTTCTTCTCTATAACACTAATATCTACTGACCTTATATCCGCAATACTCAAAATAGCACGTCATTTTAACACTTCTAATGTTTGTATTTACCAAATGATTTCACATTGGAATTTAATTTGACTGAAGTCTCCGATAAAAATGTCAATTTTTTTGAGTAGGTTAAAGAAAGTCCTCATTTCAGTCAATTAAAGGAATTGCTGCTGTCTTTTAAGAACACCAACAGATGTGATCATATAGCTAGGTAAACATCTGATAATCTGATGACAGTGCTGTGTATTCTTCACCTAGTCCAATATACTTGTTTACTGAAGGTTGTAAGTGTTTCCCTAGCACCAGAGTGTTACAGGTATTGTCTGTTTGTTTTGGTCTCATTATAAAGACTTGGATAAATATACTTCAATGTTGATTTACATGAGATGTTTTTGGATTACATTACATGGATTAATTTTATGGTTGTTCTGGATGTAAACTGAAGAAAAAAACACCTTGCTGGTCTAATACTTAATGCTATACCCCATGTAATCCTGACTTGTACTTTCAATCAAAAATACTTTCAAATCAGTAAGTCCTGCGGTACTGATTGATAGAACGTTGATTGAGTCCAAAGATAAATTGAGTTTTAAAACGTCTTTATTTGAAACTAAGTAAAAAAAATTGATATCATTTTTAAGGCAAAGTTTTGAATGAACAAAAAAACAACAATGTTAAGCAAATCAGTGTCCTTACCGTGTGTTTAAATTGTTTAGTGTACACACAATGTGTTTAAACTGTTAAGTGTACATATGATGTGTTTAAACTGTTTAGTGTACACACAATGTGTTTAAACTGTTTAGTGTACACACAATGTGTTTAAACTGTTTAGTGTACACACAATGTGTTTTAACTGTTTAGTGTACACACAATGTGTTTAAACTGTTTAGTGTTTACACAATGTGTTTAAACTGTGCAGTGTTCACATAATATGTTTTAACTGTTTAGTGTATACACACTATGTTTTAACTGTTAAGTGTATACGTGTGTTGAAACTGTTTAGTGTACACAAAATGTGTTTTAACTGTTTAGTGTACACACAATGTGTTTAAACTGTTTGTGTAGATATGATGTGTTTAAACTGTGCAGTGTACACACAATATCTTGCAACTGTGTAGTGTATACACAATGTGTTTAAACTGTTTAGTGTTTACACAATGTGTTTAAACTGTGTAGTGTACACACAATGTGTTTAAACTGTTTAGTGTTTACACAATGTGTTTAAACTGTGTAGTGTACACACAATGTGTTTAAACTGTTTAGTGTTTACACAATGTGTTTAAACTGTGTAGTGTACACACAATGTGTTTAAACTGTTTAGTGTTTACACAATGTGTTTAAACTGTGTAGTGTACACACAATGTGTTTAAACTGTTTAGTGTTTACACAATGTGTTTAAACTGTGTAGCGTACACACAATGTGTTTAAACTGTGTAGTGTACACACAATGTGTTTAAACTGTGTAGTGTACACACAATGTGTTTAAACTGTTTAGTGTACACACAATGTGTTTAAACTGTGTAGCGTACACACAATGTGTTTAAACTGTGTAGTGTACACACAATGTGTTTAAACTGTGTAGTGTACACACAATGTGTTTAAACTGTTTAGTGTTTACACAATGTGTTTAAACTGTGTAGCGTACACACAATGTGTTTAAACTGTGTAGTGTACACACAATGTGTTTAAACTGTGTAGTGTACACACAATGTGTTTAAACTGTTTAGTGTTTACACAATGTGTTTAAACTGTGTAGCGTACACACAATGTGTTTAAACTGTGTAGTGTACACACAATGTGTTTAAACTGTGTAGCATACACACAATGTGTTTTAACTGTTTAGTGTTTACACAATGTGTTTAAACTGTGTAGCATACACACAATGTGTTTTAACTGTTTAGTGTTTACACAATGTGTTTAAACTGTGTAGCGTACACACAATGTGTTTAAACTGTGTAGTGTACACACAATGTGTTTAAACTGTGTAGTGTACACACAATGTGTTTAAACTGTGTAGCGTACACACAATGTGTTTAAACTGTGTAGTGTACACACAATGTGTTTAAACTGTGTAGTGTACACACAATGTGTTTAAACTGTGTAGCGTACACACAATGTGTTTAAACTGTGTAGTGTACACACAATGTGTTTAAACTGTGTAGTGTACACAAAATGTGTTTAAACTGTGTAGCGTACACACAATGTGTTTAAACTGTGTAGCGTACACACAATGTGTTTAAACTGTGTAGTGTACACACAATGTGTTTAAACTGTGTAGTGTACACACAATGTGTTTAAACTGTGTAGCGTACACACAATGTGTTTAAACTGTGTAGCGTACACACAATGTGTTTAAACTGTGTAGTGTACACACAATGTGTTTAAACTGTGTAGTGTACACAAAATGTGTTTAAACTGTGTAGCGTACACACAATGTGTTTAAACTGTGTAGTGTATACACAGTGTGTTTAAACTGTGTAGCGTACACACAATGTGTTTAAACTGTGTAGTGTATACACAATGTGTTTAAACTGTGTAGTGTACACACAATGTATTATTTTCTCGACACTTTGTTTCAAAACACCAAATGTCTTAACTAATTGTATCACATACAGTATGTTATAAAGTGTATCTTATTTCCTCTAGTGACTGTTACAAATAACACAAGAGCACCTCACAGATTTATGGATACAATGTTTATCTGTTTGTAGTGGTTGAAGAACACAAAGGGCAATAACTTGTTAAATAAGCATTGGATCAATATGTCTGATACAGGAAATTATGCTGAACTACAAATGATAGTGGTACACTTATTCTAAATTCCAATCACAACAAAAGATACAGCTGTCTTTGCATCACTTTTTGCCAGCTGTTATCATATATCCCTAGCAGAAAGTTCCTTCACAATTTGTATTGTCAGGAGTAGACATTCATATGATACCTTATTCAGCAATGTGAAGAAATCTAATAGCACAATATCTCTTTAACAACCTTCTGAGATGTTCTTTGCTATATAGGACCTGGATGGTGATAACATTTGCACCACAATTACTGGAACCCAATAACTATTTTTCAGATAAGATGGTATATATATCTCTGTGTGACTGAGCCTAAAAACAGCATGCTGCTATGAATGATATGCACCAAAATCTTAATGAATATGTCAACGATACTGGTCTATAATTTGCACCCAGAATTGGAGGGAGTAATGACTGCAAGGTGTCAGCTACTCTCTCTCTCTCTCTCTCTCTGATCCTCAGACCATGGAGCAGTTTGATGGGTGGTAAGGTGATCGAAGAAAGGAATCCTACAGCCCATACAATTTACTGGTACTTTGTCTAAGTAATCCAAATGAATTATAAGATTAACAAAATGTATCAAAATTCATGTGTAACAGGAAAGGAAAAATTCAGGGCCAGATTGGGAGTCTAACCAAGTACCTCCAAACTCCAGGTAGACATTCTAACCAACTGAGCTACCTGGTCGTCAGCAATATATCCAGTCTAGTTCGACTACATTCCTTTCTCCCTTCTTTTTCTAATAAAGTCTTTGCTCCTGAAGACAACACTTTTTACAACCCATGTTCAGATATCCCCTTGTCAAGCATTCAACCAGTACTTGTACAGAGTAGGTTGGTCCCAGGTTCCTTTTGCTAATAAGGTGACTATGGCACTATGCATTGCAGATCCTTTTCACTCCAACCAATTGAGCTTAGACCTTGTAACTCATGGCGATCGACCAAATCAAGTTTCGCTACACAAGGTGAGTTACACTTACAGAGTAGGATGAAGACATTGTCATATTCTTATATGCATGATCAATTTTATTAAAAGTGAATTGACAGACATTTATATATCAGGCTAGCGCTTGTCTGCCTTTGGCTAATGATATTCAACATCTAGTGTCCCACAAGGTACTGTACTAGGACCAATTTTATTCCTTTGTCACATCAACGACTAGTGATCGAGCCTGCCTCCGTTAAATCAACTTTTCGTCTCTACGCTGATGACTGCATCTTGTACAGGAGTATAAGGAGCATAGCAGAGCATGTGCAGCTTCAGAGTAACCAGGTGAATCTAGAGAAATTGGCTGCTACCTGGGGTATGAGGCTGTCTGAGAACCTCAAGTTCAGTCCCCATATCACCAAGATAACCAAGAAAGCTGATTCAAACCTGGGATTTTTTAAGAGGAATTTGAAGCATAATTTTTTTGGTAATGCATCTTGCAGGAAAACAGCATTCCTTACACTCATAAGTTCAACTCTTGAGTACAGCTGTATAGTATAAGACCCATATCTCAGAAGGACATTGACCAGCTCAAGCGAGTCATGGAGGAGCAAGAGAGCTGACTCAAACCTGGGATTTTTTAGGAGGAATTTGAAGCATAATTTTTTTGGTAATGTATCTTGCAGGAAAACAGCTAGCATTCCTTACACTCAGAAGTTCAACTCTTGAGTACAGCTGTATAGTATAAGACCCATATCTCAGAAGGACATTGACCAGCTCAAGCGAGTCCTGGAAGAGCAACAAGCTGCCAGATTTATATCATGTGACGGTATAAATACAGATAAACAGGTTGGGCACAACGGTGCATATGGGTAATAATCCAGCATTTGGGTAACAGTTACACATTTGAGTACAAATTTTGTTTCTGAAATGGGCAATAAAATGAAATAAAAACACACAAACAATCTGATCAAGTTGTGCATGCAAGAACTTTTATGGGCTTCCAGACATCCCTACATTTACGGGTCTAGTGTGTCTGTGATCTCTCTCTCTCCCGTTACGCATACTAAAAAAAGGCCTTCAAATTATTGATCTAGATCCAGATTCAGGAAAGTTTCTGACTTTTTGGAATAGTGGATGATGGGTGAAATACGTCTAATTATTATCATCAGATCAAGAAAAAGAAAAGGGCAAGAAAATTAACAATAATAATGCAATGTCAAGATTGAAGTAATGCTATTTATTGAGAATTAACTATATATATATATATATTTTTTTTACTCTTGTTAAGAGTTTTCTTTCTCAAAATGGCTTCGCTCACGATTGATGGGTTGCGACGCGGAAATGGTTCGCAGCGCAGCACTGATGGAAGGGTTAACAAATAGATGCATCAAAAACATTCTGGGGAGAACACTGAGATGTGTATCTGTTTTTATTCAAAATATTACAAACATGGAATTTGTTGCACAATAAACAAGATGACAAGGGCCACATATAGTTCTCTGGGCATATGACTGATGTGCTTGAAACTACTGAATCCTGTTGTCAGGTGCCGGAAACATGAGACCTTGCATCAAATCTATTGTACAATTTAACAATGGCATATTTTTTTCAAAACTATAGAAATTTGGCTGTAACACACGGTTTGCCTTGCTCCTTATTTGGCCATATATGTATATATATACACCTCTCTGGACTCTGGTGAGCTATACAGTTACACACGCTGTGCATTGGCGTGTGTATTATTTTTAAAATTTCAAAATTTACATTTTAGTTAATAACAAGAGTACTAATTAACTTTGAGTACATTTTCAAGAAAATAGAACAACAATTGTGTAAAACTTGCAATCGGGCAGCACAATATTCTCCCTCAAATGCATAGTTATATCACTGGTGCGATTACAAGCAAAACTCAGACAGATTTTTTTTAGATCCATAAAAAGCCCAGAGAACTTACAATTACTTACTTGGAACTTCAGAGAAAAATCACTCTTCGAAGATTGTGTCCTGGTTTTCAACCCAAAATTGTCGAGTTTTTAGATAAGACACGTATAACATGTGCTCATTTTCACGTAAGACAACTGTCTCTTCTGTTAATGGAAGGATTCTTATCTGATTAAATCTGTTAGCTCGTAAACAGCAGAAACATAAAATTCACATATAACGTGAATAAAACGTGCTCTACTTTCTGTTTTGTCGCTTCCTGGTTAGACCCTATCGAAACCTTTCGTGTCTTTAGGTCGGTCATAATGATAAATCTGAGGCATTCCGATATGTACAAGTTATACAAGCCATTCAAAAACATGTAATATCTCGTTAATTTTTTATAATAAAGCTTTTATTTCGTAATTTTCATATCTTTTTGACAAATTACGTTAAGCGTTCTTAAAAGTAAATTTGGAGTAAAAATAAAGAAACGCCGACTCCTTAACTGCATGGGGCCTGTTCGTTTATGCGGAACAACCGATTTGACCATTTCTAAATGTAACAATTTCGGGTATAAATACTGGCGGACCTGCATATGTTTGTGCAGGACTTTGCAATGCTCAACTGAAAGCAGCATCAGATAACTAGGTCCGACTTTATGTGATAAACGAACAACTATGGTCTGACCGGTTTGACCGTTTACACCAAAACGGCCCTGCATTTAAGATTAGTCTCGATCACCCAGACCTTTGCACAAGACGCGTTGAACACAGTGATTAAGCGTCTGATTGTCTGAGACTTCAGAATTCATTCTCTGCGCGTGCGTCGATTAACTGTGTTATCCGCCATTTGTGAAAAGCCAAAATGTCTCGCTATTCGAGACCACCAAACAGTTCTCTCTATGTTCGCAATGTTCCTGATAACACCAGGTGCGTATCTTAAAGTAAATTGAAGAATTTTGTAACATTACACCCGATGGCGGTCTGAACAAAATATCGCCATGAACAAATTTGCTGTCTGACATTGTCTGCACGCAACCTTCCGGTTCAGTTTCTTTTGAAATGTGGATTCAAATGAATTGTCAGGATAGTTATGTTTCTTCAGTATGCTCAAATTTTCACTTTTATGTTTCATGTAATGGAAAGTCAGGCAATTTTCGGGGTTATGCGGCGGGGTGTGTGTGTGTGCTTAAGGGAGGGGATCAAGTTAGCACGTGGTGGACATCGCCGCGCACATAATTGGTTCATTGCAGTTGACACCGTTGTATTAAAGCGTCTAGTCGCTTTTTAAGATGCTTCTTAATACTGTCCACTTCACTTCCGGTTGCATTTGGAGGCATTGAAGAGGACTTTATTTCTCAAATACTAGTGAAAATATGTACATGTGCAGTGGGTGGTAACAGAAGTTCCATCCTAATTTCATATGAAATATGGGTATTCAGTTATAAAAAAGGACTGACATGCCTGTATAGATCACAAGTCTAAAAAAAAATAGAGTTTATTTTACTATTTAGTATGAATACACACATTGTGGTTAATTTGTTACAGACCTATCAATGAGCTGTACTTGGAAGTATAGATATTAAAAGGTTTTATGGGTTATTTTTTTTTACTGAATTTAAATTGGACACTAGGGAACCTTGTATTATTACCCCAGCTAGTAAGTACATGTAGAAGCTTGATTCAAACTTGTTGGGGTGATTTTTCCAGTGTTTGTTTAACCTGGTATTAAAAGAAAACAGTGCGAAGATTTCAATAAAGAAAAATACATGTCACTACTGTATAGTACTGAATTTAAAAGAAGTTCATGTATCACTGCGATAACTGGAAATCGCACTCTGCATGCTGAGTATCTCGCCTTAGTATAAGTTTCCAGTTCAGGAACTTGAGTATAGATTCTCTAAACTGGACTCAATTTTGCACTGGACAATTTTATACAATATAATATTACAATGATTCAATAAAAAGATGTTTCAGCACTTGAGAAGAAAAACAAATAACAAAAACGTTAATAATTATGACATCAAGAGTATGTTCTTTTTTATGCTGACCCTTTGGTTTGACTGGTTTTAAATGAAAATTCATATTGGTGCATGTCTTGAAACAACATCAAGTCACTATTTTGTTAACAAACACAGGTTGCGGTAAATGAGTATGGGCTATAATGGGTTATGGACTAAACAAATAGGTGAAGTTTAAAATATAACTATCCCTACTCCAACAATATGTTAGATTTAATATGGCAAACTACGTTTGTTCAGCAAGTTTTTCATGTCTAATTGGATCTGTTCAGTTTTTGGACAGATGCTGTGGAAGAAACGATGCTTCAGGTATGAGAGGTTGCCGTCAAATATACCATGCAGTTCTGGTCTTGCTATAAAAATTTGTCAAATAATATATGTATTTGGTAAGGTGCTTTCATCTGTTTAGGATAGTATGAGTTTTCAATGAATTTAAATGCATGTGTAAATAGGAAGTTAACAGTGATTGTATTTTGCTGCTAGATAAATCTTCAACCAAGTGCCGAAACATCTTTCAAAGTGATGATATAACTCCAGGTGTCAAAATATATTGATATTCAACATACACAGTATATGTTAAAAACATTAATTAGTGATATGTACTGGCATGTAGATACGAGTCTTCCCAATACATGTACGGACACGGAAAATCCTGGAATTTAAGAGCAGTGGGCCATTTCAGCAACTTTTAGTCAGTATCAAAATTAAGAAGGGTCATTCTATGTAGAATTAAAATTAAATTGGAACACAAAGGGGTCAATTTCAGCTGTTATGGGTCAATCACCCCCTCCAGGATTATCCCTGCTAACAAGATGTATGCACTCCAAAAGCTGGAAATTAAATTACAAATGTAGGGTTAGCAATGATTCATCTTGAATTTCGGTCAACATGACAGAAAAATCACATGTAAACTCATGGCTAACTATTGCACTTTGAAACCTCCTGATTTAGTACCAATAATGGTCTGGCTATGATCAATGATGAGGCATCAAAGATTTATTGAAGTGTTTTAAACAAATTGTTTTCAAAGATAAGAGCAAACTTTTGTAACAAATGTCCACAAAACTGACCTTTTTTTGTTTTGTCGAGCAATCTTGTTTCAAAACTTCATTTAGAACTCAAATTTATTTTCATGTTTATGAATATGTTATATAGCTAGCTGGGTCATTTTTGGTCCTTCACTTCCGGTATTGGTAATAAGTGCATTATAGATCAGGTAAGAATGAGTTGAAAGATGATCTTTGATCTTCCAACTTTTATGTAATGACATGACACATTGTAAACTTTTATTGTTATAGTTGATTTTGTTTTTGTTTGTTTAGGATTTATTTCCCCCACAACTATAAAAACAAAACAATGATACTGCAAAAAAAAAAGAGAAAAATCAACCTACCAGACATTGTTATAAAAATACTTTTTTGAAACAGGCTTTTAGCCAGGATTTCAAACCTACCTGTCTTAAAAGCTGGTATTTAGCCCATTTTGACAATACTGCCTGTCCTAAATTAAGGAAAAATAGTAAGGATATATATATAGTGAGAATCGAAGTTGCCTGTCTAAATGGGCCTTTTTAAGAAAACTGTCAGTCCTAAAGACAGGCAGACGGGTGGCTGGCTGATGGCCTGTTTTGAAAGGAAGTTAAAATACCAAATTTGCCTTTTTACTTGGAAGTAGAACATCAATGATTCATGTTTAAATAAACAGTAATACGTCATGGACAGAATAGTATTAGACTAAATTGTCTTTTGGATAGAATTAAGACTGGAATTGTCAATTCTGATTCATATATAGTTCAAAATTGAAATCTATGGCATATCAACAGTCTCTATAGTATTGATGGTGCATGTACCAATATTTAATGCTTAATTGCTATAGTATGCTCTCACACATTTCTTACAAGTATATTGTAGCACTGATACATGTTTTGTAATTTATATATGTGTACAGAACTGAAGAGTTGCGCTCCCTGTTTGCTAAATATGGCCCCTTAAAAGATGTTTATGTTCCTGTGGATTATTTCACGCGTCGGCCACGAGGTTTTGCATATATACAATATCCTTTCCTGTTTCACAATGCTCCCACTTGAAATATTTGAATTTCAGATATGTTCCTGTTTGTGAACTTGTTTTAATATAAGTTGGCATGAGCCATATGTATTGGAATAAAGACATCAAATTCAGGACTTAATTTATGCAAATTAAACTTCTTAATATACAGTGAAGCTATTAATATTGTACTCCATACATTTGATCTTATGTTTTATTTTAATGTATTCCTTGATAACATGCAATATAAATTTAATTAATAATTGTATTACACAGACATGCTTCATATTTCATTTTTTTCTTCTTTTCTGTCAGACTTCAAAGTCAAGTCGCGAAGTATAAGGTTGCTACTAACATGGCAAATTATACAAGTACAGCTACTCAAGCAAAGCTTTCGCGTAAAGATCAAGAGTTCAAGACATAGAGCTCAAGGTCAAAGAGTATACAGATTACAGGCAAAGTTAAAGGTTTCAAGTCAAGCTGCTCAAGGTGTTATATCAAGACAAGGCAAGACAAGGGTTAAAGACAACAGTAAGAAGGCTCAAGGTTAAAGCACAGTAAAGGTTGAACGTAAAGAGAGAGAATAAGGCTTGTATAAAGATCCAAGGTAAAGGTAACGATCAAGCGCCGTCAACACTATCAAGTTTTTGGCTTAAAAGATCTCAAGCAAAGGAGACTACTCCACACACGACATGGGACCAAAGGTTTATTCATGATCAAGCTACAGAAAGTCTGTTAAAAAAGTCTGGTCTTCGAAAATCTATTGGTTCAACAGTCGAACAAAACACTGCTACTTCGAGTCAAGAACAAGAGTAAAGAAAACAACGCTATTACATGTATCTGCTGACACAGTATTAATTCAGGTATATATTTTTTAATAGGACAAATCAAACTTGAGCGAAAAGTTTCATGCTAGTGCAAAAATATTTAGGTGTTCATAACTTCAAACATGTTGAAGTAATCAATTACATTTTTCCTATATTTCATCATTTCAAGCAATTTGGTTGTAATTAATTAAAAATATAAGTTAATGTTGATAAAGATTATCTGATTTTATGTAAATGATAATGTTTAGAATAGAGTTTTGCTTCAAAATGAATGAAAAGTCCTTAACCAGAAAACGTTTGAAGATCCCAGGGATGCTGATGATGCCTTGTATCACCTAGACAGAACAAGATTTTATGGACGAGAGCTAGAGATTGAGTTTGCAAGAGGAGACAGAAAATGTAAGTTAATTAGAGAATAGTGTGGTCAATTCACACACGGATCGGTTATGGTTATGTTGTTGATTCAATGAGGGTTGGAAGTTTCTGGAAGTCCCAAATGACACGCATGCCGTGTAGTGTTTAAAATAGGAAGAACTAAGTCCCAAAATAGGAGTTGAGACTTCTGTTTCTGGTGTTTATCCGATATTTTATAGTATTCAAAGCCACGAATAAAACTGGTTTAGAATTGAAACATGACAAAGGTGACTTGGCATATTGCATTACGGTATGTGAAATCATTTGTATATTGTTAGTGCCAAGCTGTGATAAATCGTAAGGGTATGATGAAAATTAAGATATTTCCAGATATTTCCTTGTAGTTCAAAATGTTAAATTAAAACATTCAAAATTGACAGTAGGGAGGTTCTAAATCAATATCAAATTTGTGAAACTGATATTGAAAACTCATGTATACTGATGATTTAAATCTATTTGTTTAGCTCCCAATCAAATGAGAACAAAGGAGAAGACTGGCAGAAGAGGCAGCTCACCATATGGTAACAGCTATCGCGACGATCATGATCGGGGAAGTCGCAGGAGGAGAAGCAGAAGTCCAAGGTTTGTATAATGGTTCTACATAAATAGTTTTGACCTTAATATTGTATTTCTTTTTGTAATAAGTGAAAATAACACTTGACAGTGAGCTGAGCTGATCTGAGTATAAAGTAGCGTTTAGAAAGCGTATCTTCAAAATTTTAGTCTTTTGAAGTTTTGAGAACAAAATTTGGTGGTTTTTGCTGGGAAACATGAGATGCATTTCAGACTCGTTTGCTGTTAAAAGCTTATTTTGTCTTCCATTTTTTCCACTTTTATTCACAGATACCATTCTAGGTCTCATTTCAGAAGCCCCTATTACTCAAACCAGTGATTTTGAATACAGATCCATTTAGATTAAAATTTGGACACTTTTCCAAAAATATGCATCTTTGATTGTTCAAATTTGAAGAGTTGACAAAATGAGTGAAGATGCTGACGAGAGAGAGAGTTACTGGAAGTAATCTGTTTGTTTTTCACAGGTACAGTTTACATAGAATAGACTCATTGGCTGATTTCAGCTTATGGTGTCTTTTCTACCTTTCGTTGCAGGTTCCATTCTAGATCTCGATCCAGAAGCCCATATTATTCTAGTCGGTGAGTCGAATTTGAGTAAAAATTCAACTTGTTGTGAGCAATGATCATGAACATGTTGTCCTTAAAATGAACAGCACAAATCCTTCCCATTTTGAAGAGCAGATGTGATATTCATGCCAGAGAAGGTTTGTAGTTTTATTTGATTTGTTGATGCACAAATTATTGTTGTTTTGTGATCATTTGTACCATTATGTGTTCATTTGCTTTTATTTTTTGCTCCAATCACAAAACTACAATTTCTAACTTATCGGACAGTAAGCTACATACATATATGTAACTATTGTGACCATTAAAATACTCTCAAGATTCAATAATACTTTTCTGAAGAAACAATTTGAAATTAAATGTTCTACATAACTAGTCATAGAATATACATCTTCCAAATGATTTCCTATCACTGGAAAAATATACGGCTCATCAACACACATAACATTGCAAGAAATTAGGAAAACATCATTCAAGTTACAATAAACACCTCTTTCCTTTCTGTTTTTCTTTTAAAAAAATAAATTTTGTACATAAACATAGAGGTAGAGATTAATACAGATTTGGATGCCCATCCCTTATTGACTAGTTCCTGCATACTTTTACAGATACAGATCACCTCCTGCTAATGACTATTATGATAGTAGGTGAGTGACCTGTCACACTGATGATTCTGCTATTTGTGAAAATCATCATCAGGGATGATTCATTATTTCCTTTGTTCAAGGCCACAGATTGTTCGCATTTGAATCTTTCAAATTGAAGTAATTCTTTTCATTTTTGTTGATTTTTGTAATGTGTAATAGTCTTAGTATATACTTTTTGCTGAATGCTTTGATATTTATTTTCCCATTGTAAATATTTTTGATTCCTCATGTTTAACTCTTTGCACGCTACAGCATTGCTGATCTTATCATCTTCAATTTGTGGTAGCAGATCCCGTCTAGCTGAGATATCAAAAGTAATTTAGTTTCTCTATGTATGGTGTATTATATCACTATATCACTACCCACAAGATTTACGACTGCTTTTGCAATGGGAATTATACTGGTTGTGGACAATGTTTCAGGTGGGCATTAAAGGTTGAAACCTTGTTCACAGACAATTTTTTAGCAAAAGAAATGACCTGTTTAGATGGATTGATCATGCCAAGACATAAATATTTTGAAATAAAAAAAAATGTTCATTTCAAATTTTGAAATCCCATAATACGAGAGACTGGATATAGGGGGGATAATTATATTGCACAGCAAGCAAAGAGTTAATTGCAGCAGACTGTTAAACTTTGCCAAGGGCCAAAATTTAAATTTCTGGAATTATCCCTGTCAAAGTCATACTCATGATCATTGCACATGTGGTGAGACAACTATTGCACTGATAGTTATTTTGAAATTGTGTGGCTCCAGCATGCCAAAGGGATTATTTTTAAGGTAAGAGGAAGCAAATAGAATAATTTACGCTACCTAATAATACTGTAGAATACATCTTGGTAATTTGATGATGAAAATATGGTTTAGATGGGTCAATTTGATAGTTCAATAACCACTAATTTTTGGAGTTATGACCTCTTTATATTTAGATTTTTGCGCTCGTTCATCTACAGGTAGACTGGCAGTTGTTGAAAGATCTTTTCCTTTAACAACGATTCACCTCTATATATATGCCATCACACAAACAACTTCTCTCTTAATGTATGATGTGCATATTTTTTACCGCTTTTCAATATTCTGTTTTTAAACAATAAGTAAATAAACTATTTATAGTAGTGTTTAAATTGAATAACTGGAACATTGGTTGATCAATTAAGAAGTTTTTTATAAGCATAACAGAGAGGAGGTTCCCGTTACTATTGATTGAATCTGATGCAACTACGTCTACATGTAGTACTTTTCTAACTGGACAGTCAACTGTTTGGGTCACAAATGCTTGGTTTTATCTATACAATACATACGATGGCAGATGCAGAAACTTACCTGGGTGGTGGTTCTGAATATGCTTGGCAAGTGAGAAAATGTGAAAATTCATAGTTTTTAAAGAAAAATTGGTATTTATTTTTAAAATTGCAGGAGTTGTTAGGAAAAAACATTTGAAATTATTTTGATATATCGGAGCCTGGTGATGTCACATAATTATGTGCATGATCTTTTTATTATTTATGATCTTTTTATTATAAGTCCCCTACCGGGAAACCGGGAGGACTATAGTTTTCCCCTCCGTCCGGCCGTCTGTGCGTCCGGCCGTCTGTCCGTCTGTCCGAAGAGGTTTGTCAGCACTCTAGAGCCTTCATTCTTTCATGGATTTTAATCAAACTTTACACACATGTAAAGAATTAAAATATCTTCAACAAGTTCGAGTTTCAAGGTCATCGGATCAAGGTCAAGGTCATTATGACTATAAATAGAAAAACTTTGTCAGCACTCTAGCGTCTTCATTCTTTCTTGGTTTTTAATCAAACTTCACACAGTCATAAAGAATTAAAATATCTT